AGTCCCAGGGCGCGGGCAACAGGCATATCATCACCTAATGATACTAAATGTTGTCACCCTGGCACGGGGAATAATGAGTCCCAGGGCGCGGGCAACAGGCATATCATCACCTAATGATACTAAATGTTGTCACCCTGGCACGGAGAATAATAAGTCCCAGGGCGCGGGCAACAGGCATATCATCACCCAATGATACTAAATGTTGTCACCCTGGCACGGGGGATAATGAGTCCAAGGGCGCGGGCAACAGGCATATCATCACCTAATCATACTGAATGCAATCATAATAAATTATTATAAATGGCAATAATTGTTAAACGGTTAAATTACCTGATGGTGGAGACCGGCAGCTGGCACAACGTTGTGGGGCTGTCGGGGTCAGATCCCCGCAGGCTGGGGGGAGGAGTGCTGCCCTGAAAATGAAGAGTCATGGAAATAATTACAACAACCTGCCTGTAATTCAACCTGTACAGAAAAGTTAAACTTCTTAATCTTATCCTATTTATTGTCTGTACGGTATTAACGGAGATGCACCCAAGTACTCGGGAATAATCGCACCCACCCGCCAGAGGCGCCACTGAGATCCTTCGGCCACGTCCTCGACGCTGGTCTCGTCGTCCTCGTCCTCCTCACCGACGAGCTGCCCTGGGGGCGGCTGGCACAGGAACTCATCGTCGCCCTCAGCGTCGCCGTCAGCAGGCGGCCGCTGCTTCAGGATGGACGGCACGTCGGGCACCAGCGACGCGGCCGGCAGCGCTATGCGACAATTGAAATCTCCAAGCAAATATTCACAGCAAGTAAATTCTGGGACCCAAGAATTTCACGCTAGAATTTTGAGTTGCAAGCAACTTTTTCCTATTATGCCTGAAATATGTGTAGAGTAAAATGATTTTGTAACATTGCAATCGAGAAAAGATAAACCATTGTTGGTTTCAAATTCCATGGAGAATTTTATTGACTAATGTTGGAGGATTAAATATCAGAGAAAAGGGCCACATAAGAGGGATGCTTGACAAGTAAAAAAGTATCATCGACATATCGGTTATAGAAAACAGGTTTAAAATCAGGAGGACAATTGGCCAGCGATTTAGTCTTGTGAAAACACATGAAAATATTTGCAAAAGTAGGACCTAGTGGTAGACCCATGCCCAAGCCGTCAATTTGGCTGTAAAATTTGCCGGCAAATACAAAACACGAGATTAAAACAGACAATTCAATAAGAGATTTAAAAATTCACGTTTCAAACCCATGACTATGGCATTAATCTCCTTGAACAATGAATTGAGGCAAATATCAATAGTTTCATGGAGAGTTATATTTGTAAACAAATTATCTTTATCAAATGAAGCCATAGTCAAATCCTGAACATTGGTGAAACTTTTCAAGCGGTCTGCGAAAACGTAAGAATTGTCTACCGTATATTGGTTGGTTGTCTCAAACAGTTCAGCACTGGGACCAAAAATGTAGCAAGATTGAAACTCGGAGTGTTGTAAGCATCAAAAATGGGTCGAAACTGAAACTTCGAAGCGAAATATGGCATATGAATCTTTGGCAAGCCATACAAAATACCTGGGCAAGAGCCAGAGGCATAAAGTTTCAAATAAGTTTCAGATGAAAGTGCAGCGGAATCCTTAAGTTTTTTCAAAAAATTATTAATTTTATCCTCAATCTTCAAAATTGTTTTAGCAATTGGATCTGTAATTTCGATAAATTTAGAAGGGTCTGTAATGAGAGCAGAAAGGCTACTGCTGCAACCATTGCAGTCAACCAATACGACTCCCTTGCCCTTATAAGGCTTACAAATGATTACGTCCTTATTTTTGGCCAAGCCCTTTAACAAATGGGTGTCACGGTGTTGGAAAAGAGATGAGAACATTTTATAAGCTTTGAAACAGTAAAAATGACGGTGAGCTAGGCTTTGCAAGTTGCCAAGAAATTCCGGACGATCGGTAATAGAAACATTTTGTATGCTAAGAGCAAATCTTTCAGAGGCTAAAAAATATTTATAGAAGTCCAGTTTAAAAACAGGCCAACAAAAATCAAGGCCGAAAGCAAGCAAGAATTTGGTTCGTGGTTCCAAGTTGTATGAACTAAAATTGGAAACGACTTTACCAGGGTTACAAGGAATAAGTTGGACTTCTTGAGCGCGTCCATGCCGAGCAGTGCAATGTTCCGGTGTCCGGTGATTTTAGAGTTCTAGCTTACACGACCGGTGTTGCTGACCTGCGCTCAATATTGCCTCATTACTTGACAGAAAAAAACAACAGAGTAAATATGCATCGGTGAGCTTGAAAAATATTTTTTCCTTATGCACCAGTAAATAAGAGATGGTGAGACATATAGCAACTGACCAAAAATTCATATAAATGCAATTAGAACAGGTCCACAAAAATATAATATCACAATGAATGGCGTCACATAAGATATTAATTTTCTATTATTTTGTTCCAAAAAAACGTTGAAGTCTTCGGAAGACTCAAGAAATTACGACAACCGTCCTAAGATGTAAACATTCTCCATGTAAATCCTAATCTAAACAAAGCCATCAACACCGCGTCTCGCGCTGGCAGTCGTGCCACTCTAATGGGATTGGATTCTTTGAGGACAGAAACTCGATCTGATCTCTAGCAAGCCTGGAGTATTGCACGTGTCCAAGTTTATGGTCAGGAAGCGAAATATTATTGACATTAATTAACGGAAGTCGCGAACGGTGCACAGAAAGAACTCCTAAAATTTACATCGAAAATACATCTGAACATAGGCTTTACGAGCATTAATGAATTGTTAACAACGCTGGCTCGAGAACAGAGCAGAAGTTGGAGGTATATTACTAGAAAGTAGGGAACGTTGGAGGCCAAACGCCATCAAAACTGGAGAAGTTGGGGGTATGATACCATTAGGGTTGGGAAAGAAGGAATTATGATACCAGTAAAAGCGAGAATTTAGAGGTAGAATACACTTAGAAGTAAAGTTGGAGAAGTTGGAGGTAGAATCTTATTGTACAACCGCCGATCACTTCGTTCATGTCACCCGTTATCTCAGTGTACCAGAGATCCTGCTATGGATACCCTCTTGTCCAGTTCTAAATCATCAAGTGGCTTTGTTGTTCTTTGGTCAGAGCAACAGAGCAACTCATCATCATGGACAGGCTTGTGTTGCACAGCCATTCTTGTCGACCAAAATTCATCTGTTGAAATGACAATAAAATGACGCTATCGATCAGAGCTCATCTTGCCTCTCGTGCTGACCTCACTGTATTGAGTGCGATAATTGGCCTCATAAATAAAGGAGAATTTGAATTTGAACTAAACAATACAGGATTATGAATCTTCATCTCAAGTTTTTGCCGTGAAGCTAATAACACAGTTCTAAAACCAACTAAATGGTATCCCAGAATTTATTTCGCTTTCTACAAGCTCAAAATTCCCCATGAAGATGGAAATTGAAGTTAGTTGGACTTCTTATACGCGTCCAATATTATAGATGTTCACTTGTTCACAATATTATAGATGATATTTCAGCGTTTTCTCCTCGAGAATGATTTAAATGCTGAGATTTTCATGTTTTTCCTGTCAATTTTGTCCTGCCCTGTCATTCTACATTGCGATGCAGTCTCTCCTCGACAATAATTAACTGCTATCAACAAGTATTTTATGTCTGGAGCGTCAACCCTCGCCTGCCGCGCGGCCTGTTAAATGAAACGCGTGGGGCGCAGCGGCGAGGGGAGAGCTCAAACAATTCCATAATTAGGGCTTTTGAATCTGACAGCGCATATCAACGAAACGCTTAATCATTCGCACGGGACGGAACAATTATGTTTTAGTTCATATAATTTGTTGTTTAATTGGTTCCATTAGACCGTAGAGTTTTTAATAGGAGAATAGTAAAATCATCAGTGTAGCAGCAATGAAATTGAATTCTTTTCAGCTTTTTCAAGCGAAATCCACTATTTTAGTTGCACAGTTAAATATTAGATGAATAAGGAAAATGGAATATGCACTGAATATTGTTCACTTGCTACAACATCGAATTTAAGAGCTCCTGAAAACTTCGATGCAATTGAAGTCGATCGCACACCCTCATGACACGCTCCCAAACTTTGAGTTCACAAAGAACTTTTTTCGTCCAATTGTGGGGCCGCCAATTGCGCAAAATCTCTCACGAAGTTTCCCCGCCGTTGGTCCGAGTTTGCCCTGTAATGAGGAGGCGTTTTGCGCGCCAGTTTCTGTAGTGACAAGCCACGAACTTACAACCGTGAACACCTTCATTTTCTGGCACTTTTCTGAGTCGAGGAATATTCGATGGTATTTGATAAGGTGTTGTGCTAGAAAGATGAATCTCCGCTGTAAATATCACTTAAATGAAGTAAATACTCACTAACCGATGTTTAATTTACAAGTAAGTTCTATTAAAGGTGCTGATCGTCAGTTATTTCTTGTTTAATTCACATAAAAGAAACTAAACAAATTTGCTTGCTCCTACAGCGCTTGGTCAAAAAATGTAACTCAGTACTCACTGCAGTGAGTGACAAAGAGAGCATTTTCTCAAAATCGACGAAAACGTGAAGTCACAGATAGACAAACAGGCGGACGGACAGGCGGACGGACATGTGGAACGCAAAATTGCCTTTTTTCATAAATGAGAAAATGCGTAAAGAGATGGTAGACCACTATGTGGCATCACAGAGACACGAGCTAGACCACTTGACCACTTCATGGTATTGCATCAGCCGGTAGATCCCGTCATGGTATCACAGAGATGGCAGACCATGTCATGGTATCACAGAGACGGCAGACCATGTCATGGTATCACAGAGATGGCAGACCATGTCATGGTATCACAGAGACGGTAGACCACATGGTATCACAGAGGCTCTGGCTAGACCACGTCATGGCATTACATGAGATGGTTCGTCTTTCCCTTGTATCACACAGAAGATAGCCAGCTTTATTATTTTACAATATATTACAATCATTAATTATCAAATTTGGTTTTAAATAACTTGCCATCCAACATTCTGGGAGAGCTTCTGAGCTCCAAGATTGCAAAATTTTGCTTCTCTTCGACCTCCGGAGCAGGACGCTGGTCCAATAATTGATGAATTTCTGGCCGAAGGAAGAAGGCTCAGAATTTAGCTATCGGCTGCGCGTCGTCTGTGGAGACAAAATTACCTGATTATCTTCGCTCTCCTGGAATCGCTTTATTGGTGAATGTAATTACTCATTTCTAGCGATGAACGTAGGTATTGAGAGACTTTATCTGAAAAATAAACATCGTTCATAGTAAAGATTTCATATGTTACGGTTTGATAAGTAAAAGTGAGCCTCCTAATTAGAGTGAACTAGTAAATTGAGTTAGTAAGTAAATTAGATTTTAACAGGTGTTAAAATGTAACAAGTTAACATATAAATAAATTCATCAATGGTGTCTGCTTCATATCATGGAAAAATTTCATAGGATATGCGAGTCGTACATAAATCAAGCTCAGTGCAGTTGTAGCGTCTACGTTTGAAATTATGAATTAATAAAATATAAATATTTAGGATTGGAAATAAAAGGAAAATTCGATTTATGTGTGAAGTTGAACGTCACCACCTTGAACACGGCAGTATTTGACTTCCTTGAAACTTGTATTATTTTGGTTCATTGCAACCGAACCTCTTATTAGAGTAAGTAATCAAGTGTAGCAACTGCCATTCTGAACCATTTCCTTTGGTTTAATAGCTGAAATTATTTGGATTGTTTATAAAATTATTGTTTACTTCGCATTTATATTTATAACTTGCAGCAATCAGTATTTATGCAGGCTTAAATACATAGACCAAAGAATTGATTGGAAAGCGCCATCCTTTTCCTGCTTCATATCTGAGCCTAATTGGCCGTGTGCTGTACAGTGAGTTTTGCGTGAGAAAGCACAGCCTTCAAAGGTATGTACATATTAGTTTATTCAAACTATAAATATTAAATTGAGAGCAGCCAAGGCTTCCTCAATCGTTAATCAACGAAAGTCTACAATGTTTTAGTGGCACTTGAATTTTGAGAGATCGAACTATTTTAAGAAATCGAACTTTTTAAAGGTTGGAATCTATCAATAAAGAAAGTTTGAGATTTTATGCAACAACATGTGAGATGTTAACAGTTTTATCAGTAAGCAAAGGATCCCAAACTAACTTGATCAAACTCTGCACTCTTTCGCTCAGCTCCTGTGATGAGATCTAGAATGTTCCGTTGGAGAAAGTTGGAGTATTTTTTCCTATCCTTAATACGACCATTATTCTGTCGCTCAAACTTTTCACGCAAGGGCCGAATAATCAATCAACTTCTTGTGAAGCGCTCCAAAGTTTTAAATCAGCTTCAGAATGTTGGCTATCGTGACAAGAAGTGAAAATATTGAAAAAGGAAAATCCCATTATCATGAATTATAATGAATTTATTAGAACACAATTGAATTTGATTACTTTAGCTTCCTCTAAAATTGATTACATGATGGCTTCCGTACTTCAGCCATCGTCAACATGGCCTCGTGAGATTGATTGTTTGGGCCTCAGTCCCATAGGTAACTATAGAAGCCAAGATGTTACTCATAGCCCTGTTGTTCTGTATGCATGAGTTCCAATGGGCTGTGGATGAATCATCATTGAAAGAAATGGCAGGGACAAGTTTAGCTATGTTTGTAAACGGGAAATAGTCTGTGTTCCTGGAGGACATTGGGTGGCAGACAGTGAAAGCGACAGAGTTAGCGAAAAAGCCGACTCTTTTTTTGTTCGCGTTTCCGCATTATCGTCATCGGAAAATATTCATGGAAAATATTCGTTCACCAGCAATGGAAGATGGAAAATCACATTTAAATTAATCTATCTTCTGTTTCTGTAAAGAGCACACTGAAAGCCTGCCCTGATGTTGCTGGTAAATTTACGTGTTAAAGGAATAGCTTGGTTACCCCAGCCCGGCAGGATACCCAGCGCGCCAGGGAGTCTAAATGCTTGCCTCTGGGTTAATTGTGTGGTAGCATAGATACCAGTCTAATACGAGAACCTCAAATAAAATGTTGGAGTATGAGATGTTCAGGGGAACACGTGCTGTAATGATTTGAAGCTTCCATTAGTGCGGGCTTGTATACGCTGCCATTGTGGATGCAATAATATATTCTAGAGTCCGCTTGTTTGATGGAAGCCTGGCCTTAGAAATAAATACGGGGTTTATTCGAGCCCGTAGCCACGATAACATCGTGTCGGGATATTGTACAAATTAGGAATATTGAAATGAGTATACCGATCATGCGGCATTTTATACAGGGAATTAAGTCGAAGAGAATGTATTCGAAGGTTCTAAGCGGAATTTTGCTGTTCAGCTGTTGCTGTGCTAGTTGTAAACTGATCTTTCTTTAATTAAGTTTCTTTGTTTCTAATTGTTTTTTTGTGTTATATGCGATGCAGTAACATCATATCCATACCATTCTCCAAATTTCAATGCATCATAAAAAACATAACATGTCCCTCAGCATGAACATTCGTCAGCAGAAGTCACTAATGTACGTGTCACTCACAATTAGCCTCAGACAAACGGGTAAAATATTAGATAACATATTCTATTATGAACATTATTGTTGAAACAAGAGGACAAATCGACAATCATGCTGCAGTTAGAAAAAAAGATCCCATTGTACAAAGATTCAACAACTTGAAAAATATATTATCATTTCTATTTATGCGAATAGTAAATACATTTTGATAACTTTCGGTTATTTTCCATCATTAGAATGAAAATGTGTGAAAATATCCGAAAAATACAGATATTAAAATATAATCTCCTGATAATAATCCTGAGAGTGAAATAAATCTCCTGATAGTTGTTCACTCTCAGTGACAGACAATAAGCCGTATATAACAAAATCATTATATAGAGTTGAAGAAGAAAGCAAAGATATCAAACATAACCTTGATGCATAAGAACAGCATAAAAAATGTTGAGCACTGTAGCTCACCATTGCTTTCTTCCATGCTCAGTTGAAGATGACAAACCGGAGCAATATTGTCACAAGCCTACTTTACAAAAAGGATACGTTGTTAGTGAGCGCAAAATGACTTGCATTGATGGGTGCTGCGTGTACAACTTTAAATGTTCTCTATAGCGTACAACCCTCCTCAGGTTGCTACACTCAATACTTTAAATTAATTCGATTAAATAATTAATTTAATTAATTATTAATTAAATTTATTAATAATTATTTTATAATCAGCACATCAATGTGACTCAAAAAAGGTAATACTTGATCGAATGGTCTCAGCTTCTACTGCTTTATTTATTAGCCTAATAATTTTATATATCAGCGCTTAATCTGTTATATAAGGTCCATAACTTTTGGTACAGGTAATGTCTTTTGTGAGAGAATGTCCCGAAACGTTATGTATTGATACCTGATTTATTCATGTTTTATTCCAAACATTTTACAGAGAACACTAAAATAAAGCATATACAAATATTTTATGGTAGAAACAAAAATGAAATTTGTTATTTTAGGATCAGAATACAATTAGAGTATCACGTGTGGCCAAATCTTGATCCATCTGAGAGCATGGCCGGCAAACCTTCTTTCATTCTTGCTCTGGATTTCCAAGCACGTAATTTACTGCTCATGGATGACGTTTTGAATTCCAGTGGCACGCTAACTCCAGATATTGATGACGCTTTTACGTCTTCTTTACCGTCGTCATTATCGACGTTTGGTTTCTTCAACGCAAGCCAAGACACGCACAATTCCTACCTCGACTCTGACTCAGATTTTTATATCTTCAATGAGCCGCGAGTCAAGATTCCGCTGCTCGTCCTCTACTCGCTCGTCTTTATTCTGGCATTCTTCGGTGAGTCTACATGAAGATTTTTAAATTTTTAATGTTATTAGTTTGTCCTGTTTCTTCAGAACATTGCAAAGAGTTCAGCAAAGACATATCACTTGCTTTATAATTAAACTTAAGGCATGATCTCTGTTCAATACAATGAAAGGTATGATATGATCAAAGTCCGCGTTTACTTCACAAAAATCTTGATGTCGAATCAATTGCAGTCTCAAGCCTGAAGACAACGCGCGAGCCTGCAATTGCTGTTAAAATATGTCTCGGGCTTCAATTAAGGCTACGTGGCAGAGAACTCCATTGCAGTAATTGCTTGGCTCTTAAATTCTTGGAGTCAAAAACCTTCTGAAGAAAATAATTTCCACTCGTCAAAAAATCTAACGAATTAAATATTCGTTGCAACACACATATACGTTGCATTAATCTCAACCGATTTATTTTTTATAGCACCTGAAGTAATTTATATTTTTATATCATTACCTGAAGTAATTTTTTGTTATAATAAATTTCGCGCAGGAAACTTGTTGGTGGTGCTGGTGATGACGCTGCATCGACGCATGCGCAGTCACACCAATTTCTTCCTCACCAACTTGGCCGTAGCAGATCTCGGAGTGGCCGTGTTTTGTGTGTACCAAAACTTCGCCATGTACGTCATACACGAGTGAGTCATGCAAGAGTGAGTCATGCAATTGTGAGTAATGCACTCATGAGTCATGCTGTAGCGAGCAATATTGTCTATCATACAATAGTGCTTTAAACTGGTGCAAGTCGACCCAAATATCACAGTTCTAGTATCCCGAATACCGCACATGTTTCCAAGCGCCTATTGCATGCTTGAGTGTTGATATCAACCGGGGTCAGATACGAAATGGAACTTGCTGTTGTGACTTGAGTTCCCTGATAATCCAAATAAATCTTAATATTTACTCATCTCCTGACCTATCTTTGGACTCAAAAATTTTATATTATTTGGCTTAAACAATCGTCCGATTAATTATTCTTTATCAAAAATATTTGCATACCACACATCCAATTTTTAAAAAATCTTCATTTCACTTAACCAGAGATCAAGAAAGACTCCTTAACAATTAGCTGCTGCACTGGAGAAGAAAGTCTGCTGCACTGGAGAAATTAAAGACATTTTGCCCCTCTTCTCAGAGTGAACTGAATAGCCGTGAAAACTTTGCGGGAATTTCACTGCATTTCAAATTAAGAACGAAACTTCAGAATCCCAGTCTAATTTGACGCCTTCAGAAAGCACCTTGGATTACTTTGATCTCTTGGAGCAGACTATATTTTGCGCAGCCGTCATAATTATCATGAAACAAATTATTTTTTAACACATCAACTTCAATTGCACAATTTTTACCAACATGAGGAGAACAAAAGCTTTGTGTTTATTGAATAATTGTTTAAATCCGTTCAGGTATTGTGTTCTGACATAGAAAGGAACAGATATGCAAAGAAAAATTTGCATCAGATTCTTGATGCCTTGCCAGTGGTACCTGGGATAGTTCCAGTGCCTGATGTACCAGTCTTGTGCCCTGCAGCTGGTACCTGGTACAGTTCCTGTGCCTGATGTACCAGTCTTGTGCCCTGCAGCTGGTACCTGGGACAGTTCCTGTGCCTGATGTACCAGTCTTGTGCCCTGCAGCTGGTACCTGGGACAGTTCCTGTGCCTGATGTACCAGTCTTGTGCCCTGCAGCTGGTACCTGGGACAGTTCCTGTGCCTGATGTACCACTTCGTGACGTCACTGAGCTGTACAGCGTCCGTCATCATTCTGGTGGCTGTGTCGGGGGAGCGATACCTCGCCATCGTCGAGCCTCTGCGCGCCAAGAGCCTTCTGACCAGGAGGAATATGGTGGTGAGGCGTGGTGGTGAGGCGTGGTGGTGAGGCGTGGTGGTGAGGCGTGGTGGTGAGGCGTGGTGGTGAGGCGTGGTGGTGAGGCTTGGTGGTGAGGCGTGGTGGTGAGGCGTGGTGGTGAGGCGTGGTGGTGAGGCGTGGTGGTGAGGCGTGGTGGTGAGGCGTGGTGGTGAGGCGTGGTACTGAGGCGTGGTGGTGAGGCAGTATTTTAGTTGCTCGTTCTGAGCTTGATGACAAAAATTGCTGGAGTGGAGAGACATGAAGCCTAATGCCAATGCAACACTAACTCATTTATCTATTCGTGTTTATCAAAAAGCAAAATGTCACAGTTGGTGCAAGATACGCTTGTAAAATATTTTTACTAAACCAAGTAACATTTGAGTACGCAACGACAGTCATGGTCAAAACGCAGGCCACGGTCTAAACTCATTAGTAGTCTCTTAATGGATCTCTGTAATTCGCTCATTAGCTACTTTGATGCTAAACTTAATGACTCGAACGACGAGTTAAAACATAGCTGCCGCTCATCATGAGCATCAATGATATCATATTATTCATATAATTTGCATTGAAATTATAATGGCACAGCGTTTTACTCATCATGAACATCAAACATGTTATATTGTTCGTATAATTTGCATGCATATTAGAATGACGCACAGTTTTGCTTAAGGGATGAAAATCGCCCACGCATTTGTACGCCTGAACGTTTATGCTCTTAGTCTGCATAAAGATTAATGCGATATTTTATTATTATAGTCATCCTCGTGGGACAATATTTTGAATCACTCTTTAAAGTTCATGAGAGAAGTACTTTGCACTTGATAATTTCATTCAGTTTCAGAGATGATAACTTCCAAATTTCACACATAAATAGTTTTTATTCAGTATTCTAATAATGTATCATATGGGAGTAGATATAATGAGAAAAAATTAACACTTTCGCTTCAGAGATATGAGCAAAGAAATACCTCTATGCCATCTACCTTTAATTGATCGCAGACGTTGGACTGTTAAAAGTACTGTCAAAAATTTCATGCTGGTTTGAGCTGAATTTTTAAACAAGGTAACAGTGAAGTTATATTGGGCGGCAGACGTGTCGCATCCCACGAAGCGGCATCAGCTTGGGAAAAATCCAATTTATTTCCAAGCCTTCAAACTACAATTCGAGTTTTATGTGAGGAAAAACCTATCTCTACTGATATAGCGCTGTACGAAACAAAATAGTGAGACGGGCTTGCTAACCATTGACCGAAACATGCGGGCTAGCAATAAATTGTTCCTGTAGAGCTTTCCACTACAGCTCTTCGATCATGCTGAACAACATTACTAATTGAATTGAACCCACAATGCGCAATTAATTGATTGTGATTTCAAATTTTCGGTAAATGTGCAGAAAAACCAATCGATAACAGTTGTAAGAATGTTGTAACCAATCGATAACAGTTGTAAGAATGCGCACAGAACGCAGCAGAAAACGGAAGACAAAAAGAATTGTACCGTATCGTGAAGCGGCGGACTGGACAGAGTACCAGCACCGGACAAACTGTTGCAGTGAAGAGTGTAAACGGGAGCTGCTGAAGAGGTAGGAGGCCAGAATGACGAGATGAGAGGAACATTTCCAGGAAGTTCTCAATAGAGAAGCACCAGAGAGACCATCACAGGAGGAAGGACAGGAGCTAGAGATCCCAGTTGAGGCACCAGACGTAGAGGGAATACAGGCCGCACTGATACTGAAGACTCTCACGAATGGAGGTGCCCCTGTGGCAGACCAAATTTCAGCCGAAATGCTTACTTAATGCAGATATCGTACGGACCAGCCTAGAATTAAAGCGGACATTTGACTTGATTTGGGAACAAGAGACAGTTCCAGCACAGTGAACCAAAGGACACATTTGCAAAATCCCAAAACGGGGGAAACTTCAGGATTGTGGAAACTGGGGGGAGTTACATTGTTGTCTCTGGCCAGCAAGGTGCTCAGCAAGATCCTCATCAACAGGATACAAGGTGGAGTGGATACAGTGCTCTGGAACGTACAAGCAGGCTTCAGGAAGAGCAGAGAAATTGTCGACCAGATAATCATTCTCAGAAACATCATAGAAAAAGCCAACGAATGGCTTACAACTGTTTACAACTGCGCAATTAATTGATTGTGATTTCAAATTTTCGGTAAATGTGCAGAAAAACCAATCGATAACAATTGTAAGAAAAAACTGAAGAATTTCACCGTTCGATATTAATAAAATAAAATTGCCTCACTTGCAGACGACGATGGTGCTCGTATGGGCCTTCTCAGCCCTCTACTCCTGTCCTCGACTTCTTTACTTCGAGGTAATTTTCGTAGAGCTTTTATGGCAGTGAAAGCTGTGATGTATAACAACGACTGGAATTTTTATAAGTCGGATAATGATAAACCTCAACAATTAGTTAGAGCTTGAAATTATGCTTTGATATACTGAAGTGCTTCAGTTGCTTCGCTTAGTGCTCGTGAACTGAGTTATTTTATTTGGTTTGAATCTAGTTTGCCTGTTCGGTGTTTGAAGCCGTGATAGCAAAGAATTTATTTAATTTACTTGATGTTGAAAAAACTTCCTATTTTCATTCTATTTTTTTAATTCAGCAATATTTTTTTAAGAAATCTTACTCAATCAAAGACTTCAATACTTCAGAAATAAGGTCAAAATAATTTTACCAAAACATCAATTTCGGAAAGCGCTGATCAACCCAAACGTTTGCCTCGATTGCAGGTGGCAGAGTACCCCGTTGAAGGCGGCAAAGAAGCGATGTGTATTTTACGCCGTGATCTCTTCGACACGAAAATATGGGACGTGGTCAGCCTGATTTTGCTCTTCTTGTTGCCTCTCCTTTTGCTGACAATTTTGTACCTGAGAATCGCTCATGTTTTGTGCGCTTCCTCTAAACTTCTTGCCCAAGTTTCATACTCTGAAACTGGGAAGTTCATTCGAACGAGCCCGAGACCATCGGCCTCCGTGACGG